GCCGGGCGCGGTGGCTCAGCTGAATCCTAGCTCTCTGGGAGGCCGAGGGGGTGGTTGCTCAAGGTCAGAGTTCGAAACGCTTGAGCAAAGGAGCAAGCCCGTTCTCTCACTATAAATACCAAAAGAATTAATTGGCAACTAATCATATAGAAAAAATTAGCCGGGCATGGTGGACATGCCTGTAGTCCCAGCTACTCGGGAGGCTGAGGCAGTAGGTGCTTGAGGCCAGGAGTTTGAGGTGCTGTGGTTAGGGTGACGCCACGGCATCATCTCTAGCCTTGGCAACAAGTGAGACTCTGTCTCAAAAAAAATAAAAAAAAAAAAAAAAAAAAAAAAAATGGCTGGGATGGGCTGGGCGTGGTGGCTCACGCTTGTAATCCTAGCACTCTGGGAGCCTGAGACGGGCGGATTGCGCAAGGTTCGGAGTTCCAAACCAGCATGAGCAAGAGCGAGACCCCATCTCTACTATAAATAGAAAGAAATTAATTGGCCAACTAATATATATATAAAAAAAAATTAGCTGGGCATGGTGGCGCGTGCCTGTAGTCCCAGCTACTTGGGAGGCTGAGGCGGGAGGATCGCTTGAGCGCAGGAGTTTGAGGTGGCTGTGAGCTAGGCTGACGCCATGGCACTCACTCAAGCCTGGGCAACAAAGCGAGACTCTGTCTCAAAAAAAATAAATAAAATGGCTGGGATGGTAAGTTTTATATTATGTGTATATTACCACTATTTTTTTTTTAATAATTGCATAACTTCTGAATGGTGCTAGTCTGATAAATGAAAATGAATCAGTAGAAATTTTTGTTGCCTCAGGGTAGATCTTGAGCCAAGAAGAAGCTCCTGGGGAAAGTTTTGACTCAACAAAAGAGGAATGTTTATCTGAACTTTGTTAAAATGAAATAGCACTATTTAATTGAAGATACAAGAATAAAAATGAGGCTGGAGCTGATGGCTTAGCTCTATAATCCTAGTACTTTGGGAGGGGGGCTAGGTGGGAGGATACTTGAAGTTATCAGGACCGCCTGAGGCAGCAACATAGTAAAGACCCTGTTTCTACCACAGGGAAAAAAAAAATCAGCAAGCATGTGGCTCACATGTGTAATCCTAGCACTTTGGCAGTCAAGGTGGGAGGATCACTTGAGCTCAGGACTTCGAGAACAGCCTGAGTAAGAGCAAGACCCTGTTTCTACCAAAAAAATAGAAAATTAGCAAGCCATGATGGTGTTGCTTGTGGTCCAGCTGCTCGAGAGACTGAGGCTGGAGGATCACTTGAGCCAGCTAGGAGTTTGAGGTTGCAGTGAGTATTGATGATGCCACTGCACTCTATGCCCAGGCAACACAGCAAGGCACTATCTCAAAGAAAAAGAAAAAGCTGCCTTGGTCTATCAATTAAAGGTATTTTATAGTTCTGTAGGATTGTTGTAGGAGTTTAAACTAGATCCCTTCCAAGGCCATTTTGCCACTCATTCCAATTGTTACTTTATTCATTAACCATTTTATGGTATTAATATAATAAAAGTAAATATTTGGCCTTTGTCCCAGTTCTTGACACAGAACTTCTAAAAACCCTTGGAATTTCCAGAGCGATAGAATGTCACTTCATAATGATCCTTTGGAACAACCTGAGTTTATTTTAACTGCAGTGACCCAGCCATTTTAGATGTGCAATTCAGGGTATTAAGTATACTCACATTTGTTGTGTAACCATAACCATCTAGCTTGAGAACACAACTATTCTTTCTATTAGTATACATTATATATCAGTTATTTTTATTAAATTCTAAGTGTTCTGAATATTCAAAGAAGGGCTATCACCTTAAACTAGAATAGAGGTAGGCAAACTAGAATAGAGGTAGTATTTGTTATCTAGATAAGTGTCATGGAGAAATGGTAGTCTTTTCTTTTCTTTTTTGCAACAGGGTCTCACTCGGTTGCCTGGGCTTGAGTGCAGTGGTGTCCTCATGGCTTACTGCAAGCTCAAACTCCTACGCTAAAGTAATCCTCCTGCCTCAGCCTCCAGAGTAACTGGGACTATAGGCATGTGCGGAAATCATAGTATTTGATGCTGTGATTGATACCCTATACGTCCTTTGGGTATGTATGTTTGCATCTGTAAAATGAGGAAAGATGAACTCTTGAATTTTCAAGTATGGCCAGCGTGGCAAATACCAGCTCACTAGAGCCATAGAGAAAAAGGCAAGTCAGGAGCAGGAAAAGGGTTTGAGAAAGGAGAAGTGGGAGAGATAAGATTAGTTTTGTTTAGCTGAGTTTTTTATTTTATTTTTTTTGACCTCCTGACCCCTGATCTCGAGCAATCCGGCTGCCTCGGCCTCTCAGAGTGCTAGGATTACAGGCATGAGCCACGACCGCACCCGGCCTAGCTGAGTTTTAAATACCAGTTGGACAAACAGATAAAGGTAAAGAGCCAGCAGTTGAAAATGATCATGTGCAGACATGCACTAAAGTCACACCTGACAGCAAAGTGAACGGAGATGACAGCTGTATTCTGTATTCATGAATATACAAACATAAAATGATTCTGTCTCATTTATCTAACCCCTCCCAAAGGAAAGACCAAACACTTACCATCTGCCACACTTGCATGATATTATCTTCTGATACAGAACAAATCACCCAAGGTTCGTTGGGATTCCAGGAGAAATCAGATATCTTGGCAGTGTGACCACCATGAATAAACTGAAAGAGGGAAGGACACAAAGATATGAAATGCAGATAAAGGACATTACAGACTGTTTCAATACTGCTCAATGCTTGTAACATACCAACAACTCTGGTGGCCCATCTTCTGCATCTTCTGGGGATTGTTCCTCTCCAATTTTACTAGCATAGAAAAATCATTTTAGAAGTTAAAAGAGATTTACCCTTAGTAACTACCTTTACAAAGTCAAAGGAAAAAATTCCATGGAAAGAGTAACTAATAAGAGTTACCTTAAATCCCAGACATTCAGTCTCCGATCAGTACCACTAGAAGCCAAAATAGTCTCATTGTGAGGTGACCACTGAACCTACACATAAGAATGAAGGAAACAGAAAAGCTATAAATTAGAAAACAAAGGGAAATAATACCTAAAATGATACCTAACAATTTCATCACAAGAGAGAGTGTGTGTGTGAGATTGACTGAGTCTCACTATGTTGCCCAGGCTGTACTTGAATCCCTCGGCTCAAGGATCTTTGCACCTCAGCTTCAGGAGTAGCTGGGATTATAGTCACATGCCACCACACCTGGCTTCATTTTGTATTTTTGAAAATTACATCCTACCTCTTCTTATTGTCTAATTCTGGCCTCTAGCCAAATGTAATCCAATTCTGACCTAAGAAATAAAGTACAGATGACCCCCACACAATAACTATGTTCCTAAGTATTTACTTTAAATTCTGTATCAGATAAGGTTAATTGAAAATGACTCCTTGCAACAATAATCTTATTAAAGAGCTAGACAAAAACTACTATATATGCAATAATCATATATACTGTTACCAAACATGCTAATAAAGTGCTAGCCTCATGGTGCAGAGAAGAGAGCTTAAGTAACCAGCAGTTAGGGAAGAATTTAAATACTCTCCACGCAGGAACACCATCACAAGCAAAGACAAAGAGACAGGACAGGGTGAAGACAAAATGTTCACTGGAACTGGCTGAAAAGTAGAAAATAAGAGACCATGTGTGGAGGAGTATAGCTCACCTAAAGCCCAGTTCAGATGCTACATTTACCCACCAGAATTAATCTTTACCACCCTCAGGTTCATAACACTTGAGAAAATCTTTTATTATAATAATTTCTAAATAAGCCTTTCTGCACTATAAAACTTTAAGTTCTTTGACAACAAAGACCGCATGTATCTCTCATGATGCCCTAGCAATGAGCTTTGAACACAGTGTGAGAACTAGTTTTCAACCGAGTCAGAGGGTTTTGCATGTTAAGAAAGAAGTTTAAACTGATGAGGCAGAAAACACAGAGCCTGTAGTTTTGGCTTGGACTAACAAGAAATCAATAGATGTGGCAAGCAATAAAGGATGAATGACTAGAAATGAAGAAACGAATGAGTGACTGGGACAAGGCTGATAAAATAATCAGGCACGAGGATTTCTTTTTTTCCTTTTGTAGAGACCAGGTCTTGCTGTGTTACCTGGGCTGGTTTCAAACTCCTGGCCTCAAGTGATCCTCCCCCCTCAGCCTTCCAAAGTGCTGTGATTACAGGCATGAGCCACCATGCCTGGCTCAGTAGATTTCTATTTTCTTTAGTTTATTTTTATTTCATCTATGTATGTATGTATGTATGTATGTATGTATGTATGTATGTATGTATGTATCTATCTATCTATCTATCTTAAATTTTTTTCTTTTTTGTTTTGTTCTACCAAGTTGCCGGAAAAAGTCATACAGATTTTTTAATACCTGAAAAATGTAGGTGGCCAATGACCAATTTGAGAAAACATAGAAAACAATGAATGAAAAACAATCCCAATTCCACAGAAATTAGCACAGATATATAGAAAACTTCTATTTTGAGTAATGGGATAAAGCACAAGTGTATCTACTCACACATTCAGGCTTCTCCTGACTCCCAACCCCCCACAAATAAGTAGCATTAGTTCCTCTTACCTGGAATATTTCATCCTTATGTGATTCAAAGGAATGCAACTTAAGCTTCAGATTTCTTAGATCCCACAAGGCCACAGTCTACATATGATAAAGAAAAGGGAAGCAAGAGCAATCAATAATTTTTTTTTACAAGAAAAGAAAAAGAAAATCCTTAACTAAAATATCTCTGCAATTCAAAAGAACCAGGAAAAATCTACCCCATGTTTTCTATTAAATTAAACCAAACTGACCTACCTTATCAGCTGATCCTGTGGCAAGAATGAACTCACTATAAGGATTGAAAGAGAGGCAGTTCACTTCAGCAGTGTGAGCATCAACTGAGTGGCTTGGTTTGGAAGTATTGTTTGAACGAGTATCCCAACTTTAGTTTAAAAAAAAAAATTAAACAGGACAAATACTTGAAATATAGGTAACTAAATATAAAACTCAGACAATATAGGAATAAAAAAAAAAAGAATTCTACTCACATCATAAGTTTCTGATCATCAGCAACTGACCCAAACAGAGACTCATGGAGCAGATGCCAGGAAACATCTTCAACTACTGCTGTATGCCCTGTAAAGATGGTCTTCGCATCCACCACTTTTCCTTCCTTTGGAACAGCACTGATGTCCCACAGGCAGATGGTCTTAAATATAAAATTAACCATTATATAAAAGGAAGATTCTCACTTCCCCACACACCCCAAAAAAGAAACCAACTGGTAACTAGCCCAGATTTGCTTCAAAATGGGAAGGATACACACGTGGTCATCTGAAGCACTAAGTAAGTGCCCACTGAGATTTGGGTTCCAAGAAAGCCCATAGCCTTCCTTCTGATGTCCACGGAGACGTAAGTCTGGGTTGCACTCTCCAGAAGGGTCTGCAAAGTGAGAGACACATCAAGTCCACTGGCTTTATGGATCTACTATGTGTAATGGACTTTTGATCATGATGTCTAAATCTCTTAACATTTATAAACAATATAGAAACTAGGCTGGGCGCAGTGGCTCACGCCTATAATCCTAGCACTCTGGGAGGCTGAGGTGGGCGGATTGCTTGAGGTCAGGAGTTCGAAACCAGCCTCAGCAAGAGCAAGACCCTGTCTCTAATATAAATAGAAAGAAACTAATGGCAGTAACGATATACAAAAAAAGATTAGGCCGGGAGCATTGGTGGGACATGCTGTATCCTAGCTACTCCAGGAGCGCTGAACAGTAGATTGCTTGAGCCCAGGATTTGGTTGCTGTGAGCTAGGCTGACACCATGGCACTCACCTCTAGCCTGGACAACAAAGTGAGACTCTGTCTCAAAAAAAAAAAAAACCACAAAAACCCAAAAAAAAGGCAACCCCCATACCCAGCTTGAAATCCCTCTCTAAAAGTCCCTCCTCTCCTCAAGGATACCATGCCAGCTAAGCAGGCTAACCCAGAACCGGACTTGCTCGCACATCTTCCTCGACCCTTATTCCTCAGGCATAAATCCTAGGCAGAGGGCAATTTACAGAATCGCATCGCCCCTGGGCCTGATTTTGCAGAATGAGAAACAGTAATGCTTAGGGGGCTTCCCAAGGTTTTCCGTGGCATAATACGTCATCTCATTTCCAATCTATAACTTTTGAAAAATTCACTGTTTTGTTAAAGACAAAAAGTATGCAGAGAAATTAAACAACTATGATAGTCATCTCACTAATTAAGCCATCGTATTGTGCATACTATTAAGGGGTGCTAAGTAGTAGGTACCTCTCTGAGGCTTCAAGGAGCTTCAGTACAAAACTTTTCTGCAGACTAACAACCTAATATATCTTATAAGCATGGACTTTCTCTTAAACTTCCTAGAATTCTAGCCAAATATTTAATCCAATAATCGCTTCCATAAGAGCTGTTCTTTAAACTTAATTGTAACTTATTACTACTATAATTATAAACAACTCATTCTCTTTGTGGAAGCATGCATATTGAAGAAGTGTATGAAATTCTCAGGTCACCAACGGGAAGGACCAAAAATCCCTCCCAAAAGCACTGCAAGTAAAAGACTATGAACACTGAAACCTCCCTCTGAGTACCGCACTCACCTACTTAGATTTCTATTAAGGACTTTAACAGATATATGACATCCTTTGATCGCCACCATGTTTCAAAAGCATTGTTACTTTTTGTTAAGATAACAATTAGTTAAGTATCAGTTCCTCAAAGCTAGTGATAAAAGATATACAGTCTCAATACTGGACTAATTAGAATAAACAATCGTATAAAAATATGCTTTAGAAAACTATAATGACAATTCAGATATTTATTGTTTGGCTCATTAGAAATGTCTTGCCGTCTCATCCAGGAAAAGCTGAGGAAAATGAAGAATGAAAAAGACGACAGTTAAGAAGCTGGGTGTCAACTACCAGCAACAGAAGAATAAAGAATGAGCACTAAGGATCAGTCTTTGCTGAAGAGCTCTCAACCTATAAGTCAGTTTTTGCCCTACCCAAATCTCATCTAACACTGGCTGAGATGATGGTGGGGAGGGCTCAGAATAAAATTTCACTTAAAGCAGGGAAAAAACTAAAAGATTGGGAAATGTTATTTTCAAATTGTGACTCATCCAACCGAGCAGAGGAAAGATTGGCTCTCTTTTTTTAAAGGGCCTATGCCCACCCAAGCCGAACAGCCCGATGCTCCCACTCGCTCACGCAGTGGAATCGAACACAGTCTCAAGGTGACTTTATGGGAACTGGTCTGCATCCGTCATAGGCTCCTAACTTAATACAATGTAATGCTTTTTAAAAAAACAAAACTTAATGTGTTATCTAAACAAATCATAATCAACACATCTATCCACTAGTTTCACTTATGAATATCAAAGCCCCCGGTGGTTGGAGGTAGAACAAGGAAGCGTTCCTATTTCCACCAGACTGTTTTAGCGCACAAACTAAAGCATACTTTCTGAGCCAATAACTCTTTCAGGATCCCTCTCTCCAATTTTTATTTCTCAACATTTCTCATACTTTATAAAGTCCCTTTATTATGCCCTTTAATAGAAACTAAGGATAAAAGAAAGGATTGTCCAAGTTGTGTATTAATAATGATTCATAAATTGTAGTGCTCATTTCCTAAACTTAAGTCTTGGATACAAAACTCACAAATAACGATTAACTGAATGCTGTTTTTTAACTTTTCTAGGATTTTCTTATATTCAAGTACACGACCTATATTTAATCTTGAGAGATCACTATAACCTTGTGAACTGGAGACAAGTATCTCTAATTCCTGTTGTGGGGGATCAAATAAAAATACAATAGGAAAACAATAAGAAAAATTTAACTATCCCCTTTCACACATCATATATTATTTCATTCTGTTTACAAATGGAGGGGCACCCCAGAAATTGCTGGTGAAATTCATCCCTCGATCAATGATATAATCACACTTAAAAGCATCTCTCTTCAAAACATCTGTAAACCGAAACCTCAAAGTTCCATTGTTATACTTTCTACTGTATTATTCAATCCAGATATAAACTCATTCTTCTTTTCTCAACCCTAGCAGGGGCTTTAAAATTATGGCCACAAATCTGTAACCCAGAACAACAAAAAACTACAAACGTCCCTAAGTGCCGCTTTTGACATACTTTCTTCCAGACCAAGGAGTGCGCAGAGACTGCAAGCATCATCTGAATTCAGACTGGCCTGATCCTTAAACAGATTTGGAGTTGGCTGGGGCAGAACACCTAGTCCAAGCGCTAGCTGGATTCTACTTCATTAGCTGCTGTACGACCACAACTGAGGAAGGAAATAATAACCTCTGCTGGTCTTCCAGTCAGGTCAAGCTTCACAACAGCTGAGTAAAATGAACATGTATGGACATTTCTGCAAGTATAGAAAAATTACTCTTCTCTTAGACCTGAACATTTTTTGGGGCGGGAGAGGCAAAAGCACATTTTTTACAGGATTAAAATTTAATTATTTGAATGCCATGAGTATATAGCTAGATTTTAAATGAATCTGTTTTACAAAATTTTTCTTCCGTTGAAATCTCACTTGTTCAGGTAGAGTTCGATGCCGTGGCGCAGCCAGCTCATAGCAAACCTCAAACTCCTGGGCTCAACAAGTCCAGCCTCACCTCCCAAGTAAGCTGGGGACTACAGGCACTGTGCCAACATGCCGCTAATTTTTTCTCAATATGAACAAAAAATTGACAGTTGGGCCATTATTCTTTTAATATAGTAGAAGGGGGGTCTCACTCTGCTCAGCCTGGTTTTCAACTCCTACCCTTCGACAAATCCGCCAGCCCTCGCAGCCTCCCAAAGTGCTAGGATTACAGGCATGAGCCACTGCGCCCAGCCCAAAATTTATTTTTTCTTAAAGGCCATGCTGACTCAGTATACTCTTCAAATTGTGTCCAGATAATTTTCTCTATACTCTACTAGACTTGGAGATAAGGAACCAATCCAGATTTGAACCTAATGGTTAAGGCTATTATTCAGATTTGCCCCAAAGATCTTACCTCATGGAAGTGATTTTGGGTCAGACTGATCTACTTGGTTAAAAAAGCCCCCAAAACACAAACCAAGTGTTTGGAAAGAACCAGGCATTTTATCTGGTTATGGCACTTGGTGATAAAGGCTTTCAAGGCCTATTATTTCTAACCTTTAAGTACAGGCCCCAGTGAAAAACATACTGGGAAGATTCAACCTCTCTCTGAGAAAAGGTTCAAGCACCTTTTCCAAATTTAAATTTTGCCTTAAATTCTCTCTACCACACTGCCTTTGACACATTTGAAAAATCCATGTAGTTCTCTAGGGATAGACTTCAAAAACATGTTATTTTATCAAAGACTAATCCATGCCACCTCTGATTCAGTGTTTTATGTCTTTCACTTTCCCTGGGAAGGAGTAAAGCTCTTTTCTATAGCTCTGGGTCTATTATATTTAATTCTGCTTCTCACAAAGACCATGGAAAATAACTGTAATTTCAGCTCTTTCAAGCCAGACTGGTGTTTGATGGATGTTATATACTAAATAAAACCCACCGGCATGGGGTTATGTAGAAAAGCAATTTATTCCATTTTAAGCACTTACACAGTTAGTCATGGAGAGTAACAGGCCTGCTGGTGAAACAGGTCACCCAAAATGGAGATGGCATCAAACTAGTGGTCAAAGACTAACTCCTAAAAAAAAAGCAACTCTTATCAAGGATTAATTTAATTTTAAAAACAAATACAAGTTATTGATTCACTCTTCTCAACTTGACAGTCTACCTGTGGTAACTGTCAGGTAAAAACATACATCTTTACAACTTGGTGGTCCCAAGTTTAAAAAAACAAAACAAAAACCATTTCACAGAAAGGAAAGAAACAATATGAAAACAGCTCAAGAAATACACTAATGAGCAAAAATATATGGGGAAAGAGGAACGTGTAGTTTTGACTTAACTGAAGAAACTGAGACTGGTCTACATAGGAAAATGTGCATCCTGGAAAGTCAGATGTGAAGATTCTAGAGTAGGAATCTATGACTTGAATCTCCCCTATTTCCTGAATAAAAATGAAACCTTGCAATATTTATACTTCATGGCTCAGACACCTACCTCATTTGGCTCTATTCCTTACTCACTCTAGCCATTACTTAAATGAGTCTGAAAAACTTGGGGATATAGCATAAGAAGAAAAATAATCACACATAATACTCCCCTTTCTGTGACTACTTATAGACCTTGGGTTTGTTACTAGAAAATTCCTGAAGAAAATTTGAGCCTGTGGCTTTGCTGAATCAAGTCCCCCAGTTAATATTTAGAAAACACCAACTGTTTGGGCTAATAGCATTGTTGGTGGCACCTATTATAGAGGGATAGCCAAACAAAGTCTGTGTGTCTCAAAACCAGTGTTAATCAATATCAGGGTTGAAAGGAAAAAAAGGGGAGCCTAAAAATCACAAGAAATGCAGACATATCTAGGAGCCTTGTCCTTCTGGATCCAGAACAGAATGATGTGTGCCAGATTAAGCATTATCTATTTGGTCATAATAGTTTCATTTTTTTTTTTTTTTTTTTGAGACAGAGTCTCACTGTTGTCCAGGCTAGAGTGAGTGCCATGGCGTCAGCCTAGCTCACAGCACCAAAATCCTGGGCTCAAGCAATCCTACTGCTCAGCCTCCTGAGTAGCTGGGACTACAGGCATGTCCCCACTATGCCCCTAATTTTTTTTCCTGTATATATTAGTTGGCCAATTAATTTCTTTCTATTTATATTAGAGACAGGGTCTTACTCTTGCTGAGGCTGGTTTCAAACTCCTGACCTCAAGCAATCCGCCCACCTCGGCCTCCCAGAGTGCTAGGATTATAGGCGTGAGCCACTGCGCCCAGCCTAGTTTCTATATTGTTTATAAATGTTAAGAGATTTAGACATCATGATCAAAAGTCCATTACACATAGTAGATCCATAAAGCCAGTGGACTTGATGTGTCTCTCACTTTGCAGACCCTTCTGGAGAGTGCAACCCAGACTTACGTCTCCGTGGACATCAGAAGGAAGGCTAATGGCTTTCCTTGGAACCCAAATCTCAGTGGGCACTTACTTAGTGCTTCAGATGACCACGTGTGTATCCTTCCCATTTTGAAGCAAATCTGGGCTAGTTACCAGTTGGTTTCTTTTTGGGGTGGTGGGGAAGTGAGAATCTTCCTTTTATATAATGGTTAATTTTATATTTAAGACCATCTGCCTGTGGGACATCAGTGCTGTTCCAAAGGAAGGAAAAGTGGTGGATGCGAAGACCATCTTTACAGGGCATACAGCAGTATTGAAGATGTTTCCTGGCATCTGCTCCATGAGTCCTCTGTTTGGGTCAGTTGCTGATGATCAGAAACTTATGATGTGAGTAGAATTCTTTTTTTTTTATTCCTATATTGTCTGAGTTTATATTTAGTTACCTATATTTCAAGTATTTTGTCCTGTTTAATTTTTTTTTTTTAAACTAAAGTTGGGATACTCGTTCAAACAATACTTCCAAACCAAGCCACTCAGTTGATGCTCACACTGCTGAAGTGAACTGCCTCTTTTCAATCCTTATAGTGAGTTCATTCTTGCCACAGGATCAGCTGATAAGGTAGGTCAGTTTGGTTTAATTTAATAGAAAACATGGGGTAGATTTTTCCTGGTCTTTTGAATTGCAGAGATATTTTAGTTAAGGATTTTCTTTTTCTTTTTGTAAAAAAAAATTATTGATTGCTCTTGCCTCCCCTTTTTCTTTATCATATGTAGACTGTGGCCTTGTGGGATCTAAGAAATCTGAAGCTTAAGTTGCATTCCTTTGAATCACATAAGGATGAAATATTCCAGGTAAGAGGAACTAATGCTACTTATTTGTGGGGGTTTGGGAGTCAGGAGAAGCCTGAATGTGTGAGTAGATACACTTGTGCTTTATCCCATTACTCAAATAGAATTTTTCTATATATCTGTGCTAATTTCTGTGGAATTGGGATTGTTTTTTCATTCATTGTTTTCTATGTTTCTCAAATTGGTCATTGCGCCACCTACATTTTTTCAGTATTAAAAAATCTGTATGACTTTTTCCGGCACTTGTTAGAACAAAACAAAAAAGAAAAAATTTAATAGATAATAGATAGATAGATAGAATAGATGTGATAGATGATGTGGATGGTGGATGATGATGGATGGATGAAATAAAATAAACTAAAGAAAATAGAAATCTACTGAGCCAGGCATGGTGGCTCATGCCTGTAATCACAGCACTTTGGAAGGCTGAGGGGGGAGGATCACTTGAGCCAGGAGTTTGAAACCAGCCCAGGTAACACAGCAAGACCTGGTCTCTACAAAAGGAAAAAAAGAAATCCTCGTGCCTGATTATTTAAATCAGCCTTGTCCCCAGGTCCACTCATTCGTTTCTTCATTTCTGTATTTCATCCCTTTTTGCTTGCCACATCTATTGATTTCTGTTAGTCCAATGCCAGAAAACTACAGGCTCCCATGTTTTCTGCCTCATCAGTTTAAAGCTTCTTTCTTAAACATGCAAAAACCCTCTTGACCTCGGTGAAATAGTTCTCACACTGTGTTCAAAGCTTCATTGCCAGGGCAAATTCATGAGATACAACGGCTTTTGGTTGCAAGAACTTAAAGTTATAGTGCCAGAAAGGCTTATTTGAAATTATTATATAAAAGTTTTTTCCAAGTGTTTATGAACCTGAGGGTGTAAAGATTAATTCTGGTGGGTAAATGTTAGCATTCTTGAACTGGGCCTTTAGGTGAGCTATTACTCTCCACACATGGTCTCTTATTTTTCCTACTTTCGCCAGTTCAAGTGAACTTTTGTCTTCACCCTGTCCTGATCTCTTTGTCTTTGCTGTGATGGTGTTCCCTGCGGGAGAGTAATTTAAATTCTCCCAACTGCTGGTGTACCTACGCTCTCTCTCTGCACCAGGCCTGCACTTTATTAGCATGTTGTAACAGTTATTGATATTGCATATTAAGTAGTTTTGTTCTAGCTCCTCTTAATAAGATTATTTGGTTGCAGGAGTCATTTCAATTTAACCTTATCTGATACAGAATTAAAGTGAAATACTTAGGACGATAGTTATTGTGTGGGGTCCATTCCTGTACTTTTATTCTAGGTCGAATTGATTACATTTGGCTAAGAGGCCAGATTAACAATAAGAGAAGTAGGATGTAATTTCAAAAATCACAAAGAAGCAGGTGTGTGGCATGTGACTGTATAATCCCAGCCCTTACTCCTGAAGCTGAGGATGCAAAGATCCTTGAGCCGAGGGGATTCCAAGGTAACAGCCGTGGGCAACATAGTTGAGACTCAGTCCCCAATCTCACAACCACACACTCTCTCTTGTGATGAAATGGTATGTATCTTTAGGAGTTATTTTCCTTTGTTGTTCGTAATTTATAGCTTTTCCTTGTTTCCTTCATTCTTATGTGTAGTTTCAGTGGTCCAACCTCAACAATGAGCTATTTTGGCTTCCTATGTGTACGATCGAAGACGAATGTCCTGGATTTAAGGTAACTCTTATTAGTTACTCTTTCCAGTGGAAATTTTTTCCTTTGACTTTGTTAAAGCTAGTTACAAGGGTAAATCTCTTTATAACTTCCTAAAATGAATTTTCATGCTTAGTAAATTGGAGAGAACAATCCCCAGGAAGATGCAGAAGATGGGCCCACTCAGAGTTTGTTTGGTATTACTACATTTTGAGCAGTATTGAAACAGTCCTTGTAATGTACTTTATCTGCATTTCCATATCTTTGTGTTCCCCTCTTCAAGTTTAATTTCATGGTGGATCACACTGCCAAGAATCTGATTTCCCTGAATCCACAACCCTTGGTGAATTTGTTCTGTATCAGAAGATATATCAGCAAGTGTGGGCAGATGTAATGGTGGTCTTTCCTTTGGGCGGGTTAGATAAATGAACAGAATCATTTATGTTTGTATATCATGAATACAGAATCAAGCTGGTCATCTCCAGTCACTTTGCTGTCAGGTGGTGACTTTAGTGCATGTTGCACATTGATCATTTTCAACTGCTGGCTCTTTTATACTTTATCTGTTATGTTCACTGGTATTAAACTCAGCTAGGCCGGGTGCGGTCGTGGCTCATGCCTGTAACTAGCACTCATGGAAGGAGGCGCCGGGCAAGCCCTGATTCTCGAGATCCAGGGGTTCAGGAGGTTCCAAAAAAATAAATAAAAACCCTCCAGCTAAACAAACTACATCTTATCTCTCCCACTTCCTCCTTTCTCAACCCCTTTCCTGCTTCCTGCTTGCCTTTTTCTCCATGGCTCTTAATGAGCTGGTAAATTGCCGACGCTGGCCATACTTGAAAATTCAAGAGTTCATCTTTCCTCATTTTACAGATCAAACATACCAATTACCCAAAGGGACGTATAGGGATCAATCACAGCATCAAATACATGATTTCCGCACATGCCCTATTATCCCCAGTACCTGGAGGCTGAGGCAGGAGGATAACTTGCGTAGGATTGAGGCTTGCCAGTAACCATGAGGACACCACTTCACCAAGCCCAGGCAATCCGAGGAGAACCCTGTTGCAAAAAAAAAAAGAAAAGACACCATTTCTCCATGACACTTAATTTAGAATAACAAATACTACCTCTATTCTAGTTTGCCTACCTCTATTCTAGTTTAAAGGTGATAGCCCTTCTTTGAATTCCAGAAACTTAGAATTAATAACAAATAACTGAATATAATGGTACTAAAGAAAGAAATAGTTGTGTTCTCAAGCTAGGATGGGTATGGTTACACAACAATATGTGGTAATACTTAATACCCTGAAATTGCACATCTAAAATGGGCTTGGAGGGGCCTGGCGTGGGGTGGCTTCACTCTTGGTAAAAATCCTAGCAACTCTGGGAGCCTGAGACGGGCGGTTGCGCAAAGGTGTCGGAGTATCCCAAACCAGCATGAAGCAAACGAGACCCATCTCTACGAGATAATAGAAAGAAATTAATTGGGCCCAACTAATTATATTATAAAAAAAAATTAGCCGCATGGGTGGCGCGTGCCTGTAGTTCCCACTAACTTGGGGACTGAGGCGGGAAGGATCGCTTGAGCGCAGAGTTTGAGGTGGCGGTGACTAGGCTGAACGTCCCATGCACTCACTCAGTCCTGGGCAACAAATGCGAGCTCTGTCCTCAAAAAATATAATAAAATGGCTGGGATGGTAAGTTTAATATTATTGTATATTAACTATTTTTTTTTAATAATTGCTATAACTTCTTGAATGGTGCTAGTCTGATTAAAGGAAAATGAATCAAAGTAGAAATTTTTGTGCCTCCAGGGTAGACTTGAAAGGGCCAGAAGACCCTGGTGAAAGTTTTTGACCTCACCAAAAAATGGAAATGGTTTTATCTGAACTTTGTTAATGAAAATAGCACTATTTAATTGAAGATACAGAAATAAAATGAGGCCTGAACTGATGGCTTTAGTGCCTATAATCCTAGTACTTTGGGGAGGGGGGGCTAGGTGGGGAGGATCTTGAAGTTAAATCAGGACCAGGCCTGTGAGCCAGCAACTAGTAGACCCCTGTTTCTTACCACAGGGAAAAAAAAATCCAGCAAGCATAGTGGTCTCACATTGTAATCCCTAGCACTTTGCAGGGTCAAATGTGGGGGAAGATCACTTGAGCTCAGGACTCGGAGAAACAGCCTGAGTAAGAGAGCAACCTACTGTTTCATACAAAAAAAATATAAAAATTAAGCAAGCCATGATGGTGTATGTGGGTCTCAGCTGCTCAGAGAGACTGAGGCTGGAGGAATCACTGAGCCCAGCTAGGAGTTTGAGGTGCATGAGCTATATGATGCCAACTGCACTCTAGCCCAGCAACACAGGCAAGGCAACTATCCAAAGAAAAGAAAACGGGCTGGTCTACAATTAGGTATTTGTTCTGGGATTGTTTAGGTTAACTGCATCGTGCCTTCGGCAATTTGCCTCATCGATTGTATTTTCATTAATACCATTGTTATGGTATTAATATAATAAAAATAAATTTTTGGCCTTTGTCGCCAGTGTCTTGACACAGAACTTCTAAAAAAACCCTTGGAATTTCCAAGAGCGATAAAGAAGTCACTCATAAGATCCCCGTGTTTGAACAACAACCTGAGTGTTATTCTAACCTGCAGTGACTGGTGGGCCCTACGATACGCCTCATGGTATAGCGGTCATCCAGAAAGACCAAAACATTAGAGGTTTGGAGTTTCCAGTCTCCATTACCAACCCTTGGGGTAAGGGATGGAAGACGAGCCCTATAAAAACTCTTAATTTGGGTGAATTTCTAGTGGTGAAACATTGGCTTGCTGTGGGGAACCATCCCGGAGACTCATGGGACTTCTGTACCCTCTTTCATTTATTTCTTCAAGTGCCTCTAAATGATAAAACCCCAGTAATTGGTAAATTCGCATTCCCTGAGTTCTTGTGAGTCATTGCAGGCAAATTAATCAACTGAGGAACCACCTAAACGTTGTAGCCAAAGTTGGATGATGTGTTTGGGTAGCTCTAGGTACTGTGACTCTCCAACTGGCCTCTAATGAGAGGCCTGTCTGTCTTTATCCCAAAAAAATAACCTTTAGGTAGTCAGTATCGGGTTGGATAAGTTTGTTAACCCACCCCAGTCAGTTGTATTGGAGAAAGAACACAATACAATGGTGTAAGAGTGGTGCCAGGGAACATCACACAGTTGTATGCATTCCTAATCTCTGGTAGTTAGATCACAATTCTTAAAGACAAGACAGTCTCCATCCTTGCCAGCAGATAGCGTAGATTTATGCACAGTAGGTGCTAAAACAGTCATTTTCCTCCAGTGAAATGGTTCTTCTGTTTAAGATTATGGACATAGATATTCATCAAGTAGTAGAAATAGGTTTATTTTTATATATAAGAGCAGGGGTTTTTTTGGTTGTTTTTATTTTTTTGAGACAGAACTCACTTTTTTGCCCAGGCTGAGGTGAGTGCTGTGGCGTCAGCTAGCTCACAGCAACTTCAAACTCCTGGGTTCAAGTGGATCCTACTGCCTCAGCTCCCCAAGTAGCTGGACTACAGGCATGTGCCACCATGCCCGGCTTAATTTTTTTCTATTATTAGTTGGCCAATTAATTTATTACTATTTATTATAGTAAGACGGGGTCTCACTCTTGCTCAGGCTGGTTTCGAACTCCTGACCTTGAGTAATCCGCCTGCCTTGGCCTCCCAAAGTGCTAGGATTACAAGCATGAGCCACTGCACCCGGCCTTAGTTGTTTTTTAGAGATAGGGTCTCACTCACTCTGTCACCCAGACTGGAGTGCACTGGCACAATCCTGGCTCACTGCAGCATTGAACTCCTGGGCTCAAGCCATCCTCTAACCTTGGCTTCCCAGAGCGTTGGGATTACAGGCATGAGCTACTGCCCCCAGCCTAGTTTTGTTTTTTTAAGATATTTATAAATTAAGATTTGGAATAAATGGTTTGGGTGGTTTCTAAGTATACAATTCAGTTGTTTTCAGTATATTCACAGTTATATAACCATCACTATAATCAATTTGAAAAGCATTTTCATCACCCCAAAAAGAAACTCATTAGCCTTAAATTCCTATTTTTCTCATAGTCCCCCCGCCCTGCCTCCCCCTCCACTCCCAGTCCTAGGCAACCACCAATCTACTTTCTCTAGGGATTTGCCTATTTTGGACATCTTATATAAATAGAATCATACAATATAGGACTAGCTTTTTTATTGCCAAATGAATACTCGCATTTTTATGTGGGAGTTGATCCTTATTGTCATCAGCTGATGGACAGTTTGTTCATGTGTGTTACTCTGTGGCTGTTATTAATAACATCTGGTTAAAGGACTTGAGAATGTTGGTTGTCAAGACAAATGATACAGCCAAAATTTTACTGTTGGTGAGGCACCCAGGGCCTGCACTAGCGCCAGTCCGATTGAACACCGCGGCGAGGCGTTTGTTTTGGTTGTGAACAGACAAGCGTGGGTTGCCAGGCGTAGAGTGCCTGAGCGTGGGCGAGCCTGGAAAAAAAAGCGGCAACCAGCAACCCTCAAACTCCTGGCTCAGCCAATGCCTCCTGCCTCAGCCTGCCCCAAGTAGCTGGGACTACAGGGCAGTGGCCACCATGCCGGCTAATTTTTTGAGAGACAGAGGGGGTCAATTAATTTCTTCTCTATTTTAGTAGGAGACGGGGTCTTGCTCAGGCTGGTTTTGAACTCGCTGAGCTGGAGCAATCCGCTTCCTTGGGGCCTCCCCAGAGTGCTAGGATTTGACAGGCGTGAGCCACCACGCCCGGCCAATAATTCTTGATTCATGTCCACTACAGCTGGCTACTTTCATCCTACAACAGCAGGGTTGAATGGGTGAAAGATAGACTATATAGCCCATAAGCCATAGAGTAAATACTTAAATGTCTGGCTCCCTGGCCTGATCTATTGTTGAAATCTTCACTTTAAGAAGTTCGGGCTGGGCGCGGTGGCTCATGCCTGTAATCTAGCCTCTGGGAGGCTTGAGGCGGCGCGCAGATTTGCTCGAGGTCAGAATTTGAAGCCGCACTGAGCAAGAGCAAGACCGCCTGTCTGTATTATAAATAGACAGAAATAGTAATTGGCAACGTCTAATACTATATAGTAGAAAAATTAGCGGGCAGAGGGTGGTGTATGCTGTAGTCCCGGCGTACCTTGTGAGGCGAGAGCGCAGGAAGGAATTGCTTGAGCCAGAGTGTTGAGGTTGCTGTGCAGCTAGGCTGATGCCACGGCACTCACTCTTAGACCTGGGCAACAAAGTGAGACTGTCTCAAAAGAAAAAAAAAAACGGAGGTAGTCGGTTCAGGCTGAGCAAGAGCAAGACCCTCTCTACTAAAAATAGCAAAGAAATGAAAATGGACTCCAACTGAAGAACATATAAAAAATGTAGCGCATGCGGATGGTGTGGTGCATTCCTTGAGTCTCAGGCTACTTCATAAGGCTGATGGCAGGAGGATTTCTTGAGCCCCAGGAGTTTAAGGTGTGCTGTGAGTCTGCCGCTGCGCATGGCACTCTAGCCTAGGCAACAAGAGTGGAGACTCGTGTCTCAAAAAAATGTAAAGAAAAGAAGTGCAGTGTTCATGTTTACTAAATACTCTGTTCTCTTTTTCTTATTTTTGGACAGGCAGAGACATGTATAATTGGAGTGAAGGAACCCTCGCACCAGGAAGTGTATGAAAAGAAGCATTATTTTTCACTTACAAGGGAAAGAACATGAATATCCACATTATCGACATGAATCACAAGATGTTAAACTATACAAAGAACAACAATCAATTAAACTCAAAATGAGTGGAGCCATGAATTCCCATACTGAGTAATTTGTATTTGAACAGAAACGGGCAGTTACCTGGTTTAGAAGGATGTTTTGTATAGTCAAAAACAAGGACATCACTGGAGGGAGTCTTTGTTGCAATGATGCAAGGGTTCTGGGGCATATAACGGGCCCTGTTTACTTCTCCTTCATGGTTGATCTTGATTTCTATTTCAATTTTGCCACTAACAGAACCAAAACCTCCAAATTCTGTAAATAAGATAAATTAATTGCAAATAAGTACAAAGCAAGAACTATTCTACATCACTCACAGTATAAGGACATAGGCAAGGCTTTTTAGCAGCAAACTGGTATAATACTAAAAGTAATTTAGACATTTGTTAGTACTATAAAGTGTTTTCACATCCTTTGACTCCAGGTAGTTAAATACCTAAGAAATAGTATAGCTGACCCTCTATATCTGTGGGCTCTGCATCTATGGGTTCACCAACCATGATCAAAAATATTTGGGGAAAAAAATTGCATCTGCATTGAAACAGATACAGACTTTTACTTTGTCATCATTCCCTAAACAATACGGTGTAACAACTATTTACACAGCACTTACATTATATTAGGTATTATCAATAATCTAGAGATGGCTGGGCACGGTGGCTCACGCCTGTAATCCTAGCACTCTGGGAGGCCGAGGCAGGCGGACTGCTCGAGGTCAGGAGTTCAAAACCAGCCTGAGCAAGAGCAAGACCCTGTCTCTACTATAAATACAAAGAAATTAGTTGGCCAACTAATATATATAGAAAAAATTAGCTGGGCATGGTGGCACATGCCTGTAGTCCCATTTACTCGGGAGGCTGAGGCAGAAGGATTGTTTGAGCCCAGGAGTTTGAGGTTGATGTGAGCTAGGCTGATGCCATGGCACTCACTCTCTAGTCTGGGCAACAAAGTGAGACTCTGTCTCAAAATAAATAAATAAATAAATAAATAAATAAAAATCTAGAGATGATTTAAGTATACAAGAGGATGTGATGTGTATAGGTTATATGCAAATACCACACCATGTTGTATCAGGGACTTGAGCATTTGCAGATTTTAATATCCAAGGTAGGGCCTGGAACCAATTCTCCACAGATACCAATGGACGGTGGTATATTACTATTTGAAATTAAGGAAAACTGCCAATTCCACTTCAAAAGGAGGTTCTCAATAAGGTTTTCCAATCTCATGCTTTATTTAAAGCATAAATAAGCATGCTAAATAAATAGTATCTAAGTTACTATTTTAATGATTAAATACGCAATGTGCTAGGTACAAAAGAGTCCCTCTTATACCATTTGTTAGAAGCTCTAGTTTGAGATGACCATTCTGAAATATTCTACCATCACATTGTGTCTTCTCCCTATAGTGTTTCTCTTATTCCAATGAGGAAAAACAGAGCCACAAGATACAGTTCCATTTTCCTAACCCCCACTTATACTTGCCAACCAAAGTCCCTGGTTGAAATAAACCAGGTAGGTAAGGACTAGACAAAAACATTTCTTATTCACATTTGACTATGGTATGCACTTACAGGGTTCTCCTAAGCACCATTATAGTATGTGTAACAATATAATTTGTGATAATGTAAATCTTGGCAAAGCAATATATAAACAAAAGTAGTTAATAATCAGTCAAAGAATTATAGAAGGCAGCATGATGAGGCTGCAAAAGCTACTAAGTAAGAGTGAGACCCAGGCATAGTGGTTTGGGGAAGGCCTTTAATTTCTCTGAGCCTCAAATACCTTATCCACAAAACAAGTTGTGAGTAACTTGTAAATAAAAATGCTCTGTCAATAGCATTGCTATACAAATGTTATTCTTTGAAGGACAAAAATCTTTTCAAAAAGCAAAGACAAAAATGGCTAGTACAGTTGGCATGTTAGATAACTTTCAACTTCAAAGTAACTTTTGAAAAGTAAATGTTTCAAACAAGTTAAAAAATTAAAAATAAAAATTCTAGACAGACTCTAAAGGAGAAAAACAACAAACCACACAAATTTTTTAGAACTCTATCGATGCCCACAAGTATTGACATGTACAAAAAACTAGGCATGCTATCATACATGATCTCAAGGAACTTTCAGTCTAAATACAGGGAGGTTAAGGACAAGCATACCTTGTTTTATTGTACTTCGGATCTTCTTTAGAAAGTTTCTGTTCAAACTCCTATTAGCCCACCTTTTTAATAGGGTTATTTGAGTATTTTTCTTGCTGATTTTTGTGAGTTCTAAGTATATTCAGGTTATCAGATAAACCTTAGTTGGATGTGTAAGGATGCAAAAATATTCTCCAATTGTGTAGGTTGATCTGTTATACTTTCATGAACTGTTTCTTTGCTGTGCAGAAGCTTTGTAGTTTGATACATAGTCCCATTTATATAAAAGTATAATTTTTGTTGCTGCTTTGATTGCTATTGGGAGCTTCATATCAAACTCTTTGCTAGGCTGATGTAAGTTGGAGAGTGTTTCCCACTTGTTCCTCTAGAATCTAATAGTTTCGTACCTTAGGTTTAAGTCCAGATATAACCAGCGTGAAGGTTGATTTTAACAATGAGAGGTGAGAAGGTGGTGGGTCTGGTTTTAGCCTTCTACAGGTGAACGATCCAGTTTTCCCAGCACCATTTATTTAAAAAGGGATTTCTTTTCCCCCAGTTGTATTTTTTGTCTGCTTTATCAAGATTAGATGGCTATAGGAGGATGGTTTTATATGAGGATTCTCACATATGGTTCCACTGGTCAATATTCCTATTTTTGTGTCATACATATTGATTTATTACTAACAGCTTTGTAGATTAAGTTTGATAATCTGGCATATTAATGCCTCCCATTTTTGTTTTTTGTTGCCATAGAATAGCTATTGATATTCGGGTCTTCTTGGGTCCCATACGAAGCGTAAAAATTATTTTTTCTATATCTGTGAAAGAATGCTGATGGGATTTTAATAGGTATTGCATTGAATCTGTAGTCAGTTTGGGGTATATAAGACATTATGAGATATTTGAGTCTGCCGATCCACCGAGCATGGTATAGGATTTCATCATTGTTTACATTCTCTGCTATTTTCTTCCTCCGTGTTTCATAGTTCTCCCTGTAGAGGTCTTTTTGTCTCCTTGGTGGAAGTATATTCCTAGGTACTTTAATTTCTTTGTTTCCTATTGTGAAGGGAATGGAGTCTTTGATTGGCTCTCAATTAGATTGTTGTTGGCGTATATGAATGCCCTCTGATTTCTGTGTAATTGATTATTTTGTATCTGACACTTTATAAATTCCATTGATCAGTTCCAGAAGTTTCTTGGTTGAATCTAATATTCATAAATCATCAGCAAACAGTGGAAAGTATTGATCTCTATCTGCCCTATTTTGGATTCCTTGATTCACCATTTCCTGTATGATTGCTAAGTAGCCAAGACTTCAGCACTATGTTAGGAACAGAGGTGGAGATAGTAGGGCAGCTAATCTGGATCCAGGAAGGGCAAGGACTCCTAGATATGTCTGCATTTCTTGTGATTTTTTAGGTCCCACTTTTTTTCCTATTCACCCTGATATTGATTAACACTGGTTTTGAGACACACAGACTTGTTTGGGCTTCCCTCTATAATAGGTGCCACCAACAAT